TGAATTTTTAAAATTTTAAGAATATTTTTTTTATAATCATTGAACTCCCATCTACTAAACTAAGTGCAAAAAAAACGAAAAAAAGATTTCACTGTGATTTTGAATTTCCTGCACCTGACCTATAAAAAAAATATTTTAATTTTGACTAGAACATACATATATCACATAGAATATCAATACAAAAGAAATCACTTAGAATTTAAAATATCTATATTTTCAATAGATTAACATTAGAAAATTATTCTAATAATTAATTTTAAAAAAATTTCTTTTCGTAAATATTTTAATTTGATTAAGTTTTTGCAGAATTTTGATGAAATTATTTTGAAAGAAATAAAAATAAATATTTTACTTTTATTAAGATTAAGGAAACAAATTTTTCATAAAAGTGCAATTAAGAATATTGCGAGAAAAAACATTAAAAGAATTGATTAAACTTGAGCACTATATCCATATTTAATATAATGAGCTTTAATTTAAAAAAAAGTGAGATTAAAATTTTAAGAAATTATATAGAAAATAATCTTCGAATTAAACTACCTGAAAAATATGTCAATAAAAAATTATGACTCGATATGATATTATAGTCATGGTCCTTTTTTGATAAAATATATAGAGGTGAAGTGACCTTGACCGCGATTAAAAAGTTGCTTTTAAAAAATCGTATATATTCAAGCGCTCGTATGCCTATATGTATATATAATGGATGTCTCATAATAAATGGTTCACTTTTGTATCTCATTTATTATAGTGTACTCGTTATATATGGGCACGGCCAAGCGTGACGGAATTTCATTTTTTCAACTTGTCAGACATGTATCTCCTCAATAACGAGAGAAATGTTTCTGAAATTTTCACCATATATGAAGATTAACTAGCTCTACTAGCAGTAAAAATTTCACTGACTTATGACGAACCATAACGGAGTTATATGAAAAACATCGTTCGTTATGGAATTTCAAAAATGGACAAAATTTTGAAGGAGGATTCATATTTCAACATTTTTCTCCGAAACTAAGTGACACATAAATGAACGTTTTATACATAGATTGTTCAGCTTTTCACGAGCTCTTAGAATATCGTGTCGTTTTCTCTGTAAAACATTTCCGTTAAATAAGATGACTTAAAAGATTGAGCGTTACGGAATTTCGCCGTTTTTCTCTTTTTCTGTGAGGGACAATTTAGTGACATTTTTATAATAATTTTAACTATGAAATCTAACTTTTTTCATTCTGTAACGATTAAAAGTATTGTTTTCTATTAATCGATTAGTTCATTTTCATGTTTGTCTCCAAATTTCATAGAAAATTTCATTCATTATTTTGACAAAAATGAAAATTTTCAAAATAAAAAAAGCGAAATTTCGTGATTATTCGTGTTTTTAAACTCGTAGGAACGGAAAATGATATTTGTTTTATATGTCATCTGAGTAATTCAGAATGCCCAACAAACTTAATAATATTTCAAGATCATAATTTTTGTTAAAAAATTTTTTTCTATATATTACTGGTTTTTAACCTTCACCAGCGAAGGGGACCGTTAGCTGGCCGTGCCCATATATAAACTTCTTCATAGAATAGAAGACCATCTTATTCAAAATTAAGACAAAATAGATAATTTCAACAGCTAGCTAAATACATAAGTTAATTCCTTAGTTCTTATTATCTAATTAAAGCTTAGTTTAAGTATCCACTTTACTTTATGTTGCATATATATTTGCTATTAATAGGCATTGTTAATATAAAATAATTTTTGAGAGTAGAAATTATAAATATGTGGTGACTCAGTACTATTACGTTTGTTTTACTTCTAACAAATCATATATAGTTTACAAAAAAAATCATAGAAATTTTTATTAAACTTAACAACATTATAATCATCTAAAAACTTACAACCAATTTCATATTCTAGATTACTCTCATAGATACTTCTATAGCTAGCTATCCGACAATTTCACAAATCTACGAAACTTATAAATTTTTAAAGACTTTTTGTGCTTGTACACTACTAATCAAACACTATCTATAGCATGAAAAATATTAATCACATTAGAAATTCATCTATAGATTTTTCTAATTTACAAAACACAATAGAAGTCCAATGTGAAGAGATTTATAAATTATATCTGATTTATCAAATAACAAAAATAATTCTAATATTTTCTAATAAAAAACAAAACAAAACTCATAATATCATTAAATTATAATCATATTTGTACAGATCAAATATATATTTTCAATTAAAAATTAAATTAATCTTAGATTTTATTTTATATAATAATATTTATTTTAGATATAAAAATCTATTATGTTAATTCGAAAAATGAATATTTAAACAAGAATAATAATGAACAACTTCATCAAAAACTCCTTCGTGCTGGTTATTTTATGTCAAATCAACTATGGAATATGTTTGAATCATGTTTTTTTGATTTATCAGAAGCTGCAGCAGCCAGCATTGATCCATGTTATCAATTATTTACGTTAAAATTTGTTGACTTACTTGATGATGCTGGATAGTATTGAAAAAACAAATGGTACAAAAACATCAGTACATTTTGGACAATTTTCAACAGATCATGCAATTGCAGCAGCTCGCATGAGACCTGAACATCGAATCAAGATTTTATAGACCTAATAGTTTATTATATCATTTTAATTTACATGATCCAAATGTATCATCAGATGCTGCTTGTTCATCTTCTTGAGAAACTTTACATATGGCTGTGCAATGTCTCCGTACAAATGAAGCTGATATGGCTGTATGTGGTGGTGTTAATGGATTCTTACACCAGAAAGTTTTCTACAACATTCATTTATTGGTGCACAATCACCTGGTGGAAGAAGTCGATCATTTAGTGTTGATGCTAATAGTTATGCCACAGGTAAAGAATTCAGTTGATTAGTCTTTTTTTTATTTAGAAATACATTTCAATTTAAATATTGTGTCTAGATGATGGTCTTGATCTTTTATTATTAAAACAATTAAGTGATGCTGAACGTGATGGCGATCCAATTGAAGCTAATTGTTTAGATCGATTCTTTAATCGATCAAATCTTGATCCACCATTATTATTAGATTTACTTAAAAGTAATTTAGGACATACAGAAGGTGCAGCTGGTGTTCTATCACTTATTAAAGTTGCTATGTGTATGTATCATCGTGGTATTACAGCAAATATACAATTTACTTCACTTAATTCAAAAATAGATGCATAAAAATATAATCTACATATTCTTCAAAATTATACTATTTCCATCCGTTTCAAATAATGACAAAATAGCCATTGGTGTTAATTCATTCGAAACGGTTGATTCAACGACACATTCTATTATTGAAGAATATCAACCAATAAATAAAACATGAATTGAAAATGGTCATATCGATGATGAAAATCATATTAAAAGCAAACAATATTTTATTTTTATGTTTTCAAGTAAGTTCTTTTTTGTTTTCATTCATTAAATAATTTATTTCTCTTATTCAGTAAAAAGTCGTCAATATCTTAACGATCAATTATTGATATAGATCATAATGATGATCAAGCTTTTCTTCAACGTATATCTCAGCAACTTCTTCTCAAAAGAACTATTAGTTATACACATTTAGCAATCTTTGTTTTTCTTAATCGTCAACAATTACAAGAAGAAATCAATGCTTTTCTTACTGAACAAACATTACCAGGCCTTTCAATCATATCACGTCCAACAAAAGCATTAGCACAGAAAATATGTTTTGTTTTTAGTGGACAAGGTCCACCATGGTGGTCTATGGGTAAACAATTATATGAAAATGAACCTTTATTTAATAAATAGATTAATTGAACTGATGAAGAAATAACAAAAATTAATAATGGTGAATGGAGATTATTAGAAGAATTAATTGAAAAGAAAAATGAACAAGAATCTCGTATTAATGATACAAATATTGCTCAACCACCATTATTTGCTATACAAGTTGCATTAGCAGCTTTACTTATTTCTTGGCATATTTATCCATCATCTATAATATCACATAGTGCTGGTGATCAAGCAGCTGCTTTTGTTGCTGGTCGATTAACTCTAGAAGAAACTGTTCGTATGTTAGCTGTTTGAATAAGTGAAGAAGAAGTAGAAAATAAACTTTTGAAAGGTATTGAACATTTGGCTTGTATTGCTGTTGTTACTAGTCCTCGTCGAGTAACAATAAGTGGTGATGAAAAACCAATTGATGAAATACAACAAATACTTTCAATCTCTTATCCTAATGTATTTAAAGCACGTCTTCGTATTGAAAATGCATTTCATTCATATCAAATGAATCGATTTGATATTGAAAAAGAAATGCTTTCATCATTGAAAGATATTCAAGGACTTCCAATACAAGATCAAAAA